AAGTACTTGTCTAGCACGTTTTGTGCTATCCCTGTGCATTTATACCCTTCCCCTTCTTTCTTCACCTCTGAAATCTATTCTAACTCTACTGTGTGTCATAATCAGAGAAACTTCTCTCTTCCTGACTCGCACTGGGCACATCGGAGACCGGGACCAGCAGGACAGCGGGAGGGGGAGCCGCGAAGGGGGGGACAACACACAGACTGACACCAGATACAAGCAATCTGACGGCTCTATAGCTGGTGGATTGCTTGTATGTAAACAGGCATCGCTGCCTGTTTTTAAATTCAGGCAGTTTCCCGCTCGCGAGTGGGCGGTCCTGGCGAGAAGTTTAAATACGCTCGCTCAGATCTAAGAAGGTTGTAAGAACACGGCCGGCCGGGAGGCGGTAAAAAACCTCTAAGCAGGGTCTTCAGAACAGGGGAGACTGACCCTGCCTGGGGAGCCGCAAGAAAATCAGCAGGTAAGGGTGAAAAAAGAAATCTTGAAGTAGAGCTAGAAGTAAATTTCTCCATGTCTCCTAGTCCGCAGGGTTCAATATTGAGTTGGCCCAACCTTTGCAGCTATAACAGCTTCAACTCTTCTGGGAAGGCTGTCCACAAGGTTTAGGAGTTTGGGAATGTTTGACCATTCTTCCAGAAGCGCATTTGTGAGTTCAGGTACAAATGTTGGATGAGAAGGCCTGGCTCGCAGTCTCTGCTCTAATTCATCCCAAAGGTGTTCTATCGGGTTGAGGTCAGGACTCTGTACAGGCCAGTCAAGTTCCTCCACCCCAAACTCCTTTATCCATGTCTTTATGGACCTTGCTTTATGCACTGGTGCGCAGTCATGTTGGAACAGGAAGGAGCAATCCCCAAACTGTTCCCACAAAGTTGGGAGCATGAAATTGTCCAAAATGTATTGGTATGCTGATGCCTTAAGAGTTCCCTTCACTGGAACTAAGGGGCCAAGCCCAAACCCTGAAAAACAATCCCACACCATAATCCCCCCTCCACCAAACTTTACATTTGGCACAATGCAGTCAGGCAAGTACCGTTCTCCTGGCAACCGTTAAACCCAGACACATCCATCGGATTGCCAGACAGCGAAGCGTGATTCGTCACTCCAGAGAACACATCTCCACTTCTCTAGAGTCCAGTGACGGCGTGCTTTACACCACTGTATCCGATGCTTTGCATTGCACTTGGTGATGTAAGGCTTGGATGCAGCTGCTCGGCCATGGAAACCCATGCCATGAAGCTCTCTACGCACTGTTGTGCCAATCTGAAGGACACACGAAGTTTGGAGGGCTGTAGCTATTAACTCTGCAGACATTTGGCAACTTCTGCACACTGTGCGCTTCAGCATGCACTGTCCCTGCTCTGTCATTTTACATGGTCTATCACTTAGTGACTGAGTTGCTGTTGTTCTCAGTTGCTTTTACTTTGCAATAATACCAGTTGACCGTAGAATATTTCGTAGCAAGGAAATTTCACGTAACACCTGAATCCAATGTTTTGGAGAGGAGTCCCAATACTTTTTGCAATATAGTGTATATGTAAAAAAAATAAGACTTTAATACTACTTTAAGTAATGTAACTGCAAAGTGAATAAGTAGAAAGTCACTACTTAAAAGGACACACATCCCTTAAAATACTTTGAGCAAACAGTCTCATTCAGTAGTTTCATAACAGCTGCCTCATTTTTAAAATAGATCTCCACCATGTTCAGCTAAAGGCAGAAAGCACCCTGCTTGTGTGCATCCCTAGATACGCAAGACCCATCAGGAGATTCCCCCCATATGGCACTTGTGTGCACACTGTATGCACTTTCTGCATTTTGCTGAATCCAACAGAGATTCGGATATCTCATTCAATTATTGCAGACTGAGGACACCTGGCCAAACATATTTGTAAAATCTCAGTAGGCAAAACTACACATATTAACTTAAACAACATGTGCAATATCCACCTAAGTGGCACAAACAGGGAACAAATGAATATAGTTGTATGCAATATTTAATAAAGTCGGTGTAGTTTGATAACTTATAATGCGCTCCTAAACCAAAGTGGTACATACTTACATTTTTGCAGCACAAATCAGCACAAACAAATGGTATATTTCTTTTTCAAATTTAATAACAAAGGGGTACAAAGTGGGTGGGGTTTTATCAAATATAATGCACAATATCTCTGAAACCAAAGCAGCACAAACGTTTGTTTTTGCGGCACAAATCAGCACGAACGAATGGTTTGCTTGTTTCTTAAAATTTAACATGGGGTGCAAAGTGTACGGGATTTCAGCTAGGGCGCCGAAATATATCCAAAAAATGGCACATTTGACATGCCTGGTTTCTCTCCTCCCCGCTGGGCGCTGCTCTGTGTCCCCTCTGACACAGTGCAGCATCCAGCAGGGAGGAGAGAAACTATCAGAGGACGCCGAGCAGTGCGGGGGGAGCACGGTGAACACCTGGCGTGTCACAGGAGGCCGGACTCTCCTCCCGCACCGCCCCCCTCAGCCTCCTGTGACCGATCAGAATGAAGAGCGGTGTGGGGGCAGAGACAGCCGTGCGCTGTCACAGGAGCTTGAGCCGGCGGAGAGGGGGAGGGGTCAGCTGCCAAAATAGACCGAACTCCCCGCACTGCCAGCTCAGCTGTGACAGCGAGTCAGGATGGAGAGCTGTACAAGCAGTCAGCAATCAGTGATCGCTGACTGTTTGTAAATAACTGGACATAGTATGAGTTACTATGTGCCAGATATGAATGAAAATGATTGTGTACATAGTAAACATACTATATCCACAAGTTATGAATGAACAGGAACACACAGTATAGCGATTTCCTGTTCATTTATAACAAGGGATGCAGAATATGAGATTATGGATTCTGTGTCCTCAATCTCTTTTCCTATTTTAAAAGGGAAATATCAGGGGTCTGTTTAGACCCCTGATATTTCACCAAAGCCCCTGACAAAGTTAAAAAATAAAAATATTTAATAAAAAATAAATGCAAATAAAAATATAAAAAAATGTAAAAGTTTATAAAAAAATCAATGAAAATTTTTTTTGAAACATTTAAATAGGTTAGGAAAAAAAATTAGTTTTGGTTACTTTTATTTTTGCGGCACAAATCAGCACAAATGAATGGTATATTTTTATTCAGGTTTTACAAACATGGGGTGCCAACTTCACGCAGCTCCTATGTGCACAAGCCAAAGGGGTTCACACACTTTTGAACAGCTGTATATACTGTGCGTGCATACAGTATTATAACATATATTTCTCTATATACACTTTTGACAGACTTGCTTTACTCTCCTGAACCAGCACACCCTTATTGTGACAATAAAAGCCAGGTGTTGACAGTGGGTGCAGAGTTTATGCCAACAGGTTTGCTAAGGAACAACTGGACAGATGAGCCTATGAAAGATGAGGATATGCCTGTAAAAGAACTTCACTGCCACTTGCAGAAGAAGAGAGAAATAAGGTAACTGGCACCCATTATTATATGTCATATTTTACTTTCAGATTTTTGTTTAAAAAAATATGTATATCCTATATATAGTATTAAAGTCCAACTCCAGGATATTTCCTAGTGTGCAATATGACTGGAAGTCTTTCACACAGCACCATCAGAACCAACATAATCCTGGGTCTGCCTAAATAGAGCAACCACACTAGAAATAATTGGGCAAAAACTTTTTGGTGAGCAGCCTGTGACTCTCAATTAGTGATGGGCTGAACAGACCTGAGTTTAGTTCGAATTTGAACTTTAGAACATCCAAAAAGTTCGAACTCAAACTCAATGCAAGTCTATGGGGGCAGAACTTTCAAAATCAATTATCCCCTTTTTGAAGGCTTATATGCAAGTTATTGGCCTTAAAAAGAGTATGGGGATTCTGGTACTGCCCTGGGTGACATGTATCAATGAAAAAAAACACTTTTAAAAAATACAGTTTTTAAAGGAGCAGTGATTTTCACATCACTTAAAGGGTAACAATAAAAATTAAAAATTCCTTTAAATATCGTCCCCTTAAACTTACTGTGAGGAGGCACCACTGTACGATGTATAGAACCTGCTGCAGCAAAAAGTGACATTTAAAAAGAAGAAAATGAGATTTAAATTGCCGGTAATTGGTTTTCCTTTAATCTTTTAAACAACTGCTTAAGGGAGGCCATCTGTATGAAGAGGCCACATTTTAGGACACTCGGAACAAGGTTTGAGATTTTCTGGATAAATTCTGGTGCCTCTTTTCCAGACGTTGGATGAAAGTAACAACTGGTGCTTTAAAAATGGGCCTTTAGTCTTAGCAGTGCCTTCACACCATAACCCTTCAGATTTATTCTTGGCGAGTGCAGGATTGGACCCTGCTGTAAAAAATTCAAATTATATGCACCTCTCACATGCGGGTGCGGAAAAATTAGGCCTTGGATGTCGGTGGTGCACTACACCAAGAACGTTACTTCAAGATAGAATAATCACCCACAATGTTAGGCAGCCTAGGCAGTCTTCCAGAGATCCCAGATCCCCGACAAATGTATTCGGTTACATCTGCATCAGGGGATTGATAGCTGCTTCTGATCCAGGACTGATTAATTTTGATAAATGTCAGCCAGTCAACGGAGTCTGTGGACGGACGCACTCTTATCTGTCTCCAGCAGCACTGAATGTCCGTTCGGAAAGCAAGGTGGATGCAGGGCAGCCCAGTAGCTCCATGGCATATTGGCTAAGTTCTGGTCACTGATCCATTCTCAAGACCCAGTAAGCCAGTGGATCGTCTGTTGGAAAGCTCTCTATGTCTGCTCTTGCCCCTAGGTAATACTGCACCATATGATACAGACGCTGCCAATGGGTGCCTAAAGTTAACAACCCTGGGTGATGAGGGCTAAAAAAAAATTCTAAAGGCATAAGTCAGGTGGCCCCCTTCTCCACCACTCTTCCTTTGACCAACCGAAGTCTCAGAAGCACCTCCTTTATGACATGGTAACCTACCAGTGTCTGGAAAGGTGTTACACCAGTTTCTCTTCAACGCGTCCTCAAGTTGATTCATCCTGTGCTCCCCTCCTGTGAGAGCAGGATGAGCTCTGCAACTATGAGCCCTGCAGCACTCTCTCCTGCGCCCCACCCGTGCTGGCTTCGGCGCTCTTGCCTTGGCCCCCCGCTGGCCTCAGCGCTCAGGATGGAGAGCAGAGGATCTGTAAATATCGGTGATATTTACTGATCCTCTGTGCAGGGCAAACACTGTAGTGATCAACTGATCACTGCAGTGGTTTTAAATAACTGGGGACATATAGTACTATGTGTCCCCAGTTATGAATGAAGAGGAAGTGCTTTACATCACTTCCTCTTCATTCATGAGTTTCTCAATGGGTAGTAGCACTCACTATAGAGGCTTCTACCCATTGATAACTGGATGATAGTAAATATTTTCTGAATGAACGGGAAGCCTCTATACTGAGTGCTTTCCATTCATTTAGAACAGAGGCTGCAGTAAAAGGGATTGAGGACTCTGGGTCCTCCAATTTCTTTTTCTATTTCAAAAGGGAAATGTCAGGGGTCTGTTTTAGACCCCTGATATTTCCCTGAAGTCCTCAAACAGTAAAAAATAAATAAATAAAAAAAACAAATACAAAATAATAAAAAAACACATACTGGAGCCGGGGCACATGACGTTACATGGCGCTGTGCGTGCGCGGCGTCGGGTGACGTCACACGCCTGTTGGGGTGGCACACTTTTTTGTTCTGGCCTCGGGCACAAAAGGAGCTAGCTACGGCTCTGGTTTGCCACGCTTGATCCGCTTGAGACACAGATTGCAAATAGCAATGCTGCGGTCTGCTGCACATGTGCTGAAAAACTCCCACACAGCTGAGTTTCCTGGAAGTGTGCTGGGAGACAACAATGCCCTGCACCTGTGCAGGTCTGCCGTCTCATGCAAAAGGGTGGCTGCTCTTACGGCTGCCCCTGGAGGACATCCTGCCTCGGTGTTTGATCAGGCACCCAAGTAGAGTCAGTGACCTCATCATCATCCACTCTGTCCTCATCACTGCAGCCAACCGGGCAGTATGCTGTGGCTGGGGGAACATGGGTGCCAGAAAGATGTAGTGCAACCTTTTGCCTAAAAACAATGGTTAAAGTGACACTAAACTTAGGAGTTAAATCTTAAACATACATTAAAATACCTTAAACTATCAACAAACATGTACTTTATTTGTGGATCTCTTAGCTACAGATCCTCAAATCATCTCTGAATGTGTGCTGACAGTGTTCTTCCTTCTGCAGGGTGGCTAGTTTTGTTCCCCATGGTCCCTGTGTGTGTTGCCAAAGTAGCCACCACGTCAAGCTTGCTCCTGTGATAGACTGTAAGCTGACTTTTACTAATTTGTATTGCGATTGGAGTCCATCACAGGAGTGAGCTTGGTAAATAAAAGGAATAAGTAATGTGGCGTACTTGGAGTATTTGACACCTGGGCACCTCTATACAACAACATTATTTTCAGTAATAATAAAGGAATTAAACCAATGATAATCATGACCAGAGAAGAAATGCAAACAATGAAAATTGTAGTGCTCTCTCACATTGCTGGCCAGTGAAGAAAAGCCCTCATACCCTGATTGTCAGCCTAAACATGCTCCCTTACATTGGTGATCAGTGATATGCTTGCTTAGTGGCTATTGGAGACAGGCTACCTTAGATTGGTGGTCAGTGGGGAAAAAGTCCGCTGTACAATAGTGGTCATTGGAAGAAGGAAGGACCCCCTTACTGTGGTTGCCAGTCAGAGAAGGGCCCCATCATAGTTGCCAACATTTCAAGAAAATTTCCAGGGACATCTTTTTTGCTGTGCAGCCAGCAAAACATTTTAGGCAGAAGAAGGGCATTCTTGTAAAAAGGTAAGGTATATTGTTAACCTATTGTACAAAGTTCTTGTTAAAAAGGACAGCCTTACAGCCAAGAAGGTATAAAAATATTTATGTATTTATTTAGCTAGTTACAACTTTTAAACTGGTCATTTGAGCAGTGGCCAGCCCTGTCAGCACCAACCAGGTCAACAAATGTCAGTTTTTAAAATAATAGGAACAGAGTGGAATATTGTTGCCTGAATATTGATTGCATTTTATTGGATACACTATTCAGGTGTTCAGACAGCTGAGGGTACTGTGGCTTTCAGAATTCAATAGCCAGCAGAGGAGATTCCTCCATCTGCACTCTTTTGCTTGGATGGGGGAATCATGTGACTTCTCTCAACCAGCTCATAGCCACAAAACCAGCACGAGAAACCAACACATGTAAGGCTGGCCTAAAACTCTACTTAAAGTGCAGCAACCCAGCAGCTCTTGCAGAGTATACAGTGATAAAACACAAATTATACAGAATATACATCTGGAACATAGGCATGCAGAGCCTATTGCATTAGGGTGTGCACACAAAAGTACAAACACACACACATATATATATATATATATATATATACACACTGAGTGGCCAGATTATTATGACCAAATGCACAGGAACATTTTAATCATTACCAGTAGGGATGCACCGATAAATCGGCCGCCGAAACATATCGGCTGAAAATGGCACTTTTGGCATAATGCCGAAAGAGCCATGTTTCGGCCGATACATCGGGTCATCCCTGGTTTCTTTTCTCCCCGCTGGGCGCTGTTCCAGCGGGGAGAAAAGAAAGTGACAGCCGCCGAGCGCTGCAGGAGTCAGGACGAGAGCGCTGTGAGCTGCGGCATATACATATACATACATACATACACACACATACATACATACATACATACATACATACATACATAAATACATACATACACAGACCTAAAGCATCCTGAATTCCCATCTCTTCAGCTGTCCCTTACCTCTTCCAGTAGGGGGGCAGTAATAAAGCAGGGAGCCCGGCAGGTGGTCATATCCTGATTGGATGGGAAGCTGCAGTCACACTCCCTCGCAGCTTCTCAGGCACCGAGGACAGTGGCTGTTATGTGAGGAAAGAAAATGGCAAGAGCTGCTGTGCTCTGTATCGATAGGATTGCCACCTTTTCTTCAAGCTGAACCTGAACAGTCTAGCTCTGCATGGAAATTCTTTTTCTTGGAGAATATACAGTACAGGAAAGAGTGAGGAGAGACAGCTAGGAGAACGTAAGAGGAGAGACAGCCAGGAGAGCGAGCGAGGAGAGACAGCCAGGAGAACGAGCGAGGGGAGACAGCCAGGAGAGCGAGTGGGGAGAGAGAGGAGAGCAAGCAAGAGAAAGAGAGAGAGAAAGGAGAGCGTGAGAGAGAGCATGAGTGCAAGGAGAGCGCGAGCGCTGAGAGAGAGCGGAGTGAGGGAGAGCGGTGAGATAGAGAGAGCCAGGAGAGAGAGAGACAGTCAGGAGAGAAAGAGCTAGTAGAGGCAGCCAGGAGAGAGATCTAGGAGAGGCAGCCAGGAGACAGAGAGAGGAGAGATAGCCATGAGAGAGTGGAGAGACAGCCATGAGAGAGAGAGAGTGGAGAGACAGCCAGGAGAAAGAGTGAAGAGAGATGGCTAGGAGAGAGCAAGGAGAGATAGCGAAGCCTGACCACAGACACCCACAGAAGAATGATGAAAAGATCTGATAATTAAATATGACACACATTAAAGGAAGGATTGCATTATGCAACTGGTCAAACTTGAAAATCAGGGGGCATTTTCATGCCTGAACATCTTCATGATAAGATCTTTTGCGCGCAAAGGTGACACTGACGCCGCCTGTGTGACATTGCACAGGTAAGGTAACGCAGACAGTTCGGGAATGACAGTGCACCCCCCTTCCCCAAATACATAGCCGACCAGAGAGTGGTTCGTGTCAGGCAGACTCTGGACTTCAGTGACACTGTGGAGAAGGAGCCGCTGCCAGGACATGCAGAGGGAGAGTGAAGGAAACTCAGGACCTCTCCTCTACCTGAGGGCCCGAACGGTCCGTCTGCCCCTGGCGCCTGCAGTTTCAGTGTTGCGCTTGCGATGATTAGTGTGTGCCCCGGTATACCACGTGTGCACGCCTATGATTTGGAATTAAATATTTTGAAAACATCACTTGACACTGACCATTATGCTGAGTACTGCGACAAATGCTGTGGCTGCTGATGGGTTAAAGGTGGCACAAATCCTGAGTAATGAAACCAATTAGGCATTGCAGTGGAGGCATGTGAATGAGAATTCTGCGTCATGTAATCAAAGCTGGACATCTTTTGCCTTTATGTAATGGGGGATTCTACACTGACCACCAATGTAAGGGGGGATTCTACACTGACCACCAATGTAAGGGGGGAAATCTACACTGACCACCAATGTAAGGGGGGAATCTACACTGACCACCAATGTAAGGGGGAATCTGCACTGACCCCCCAATCAGTGGCGGACCTAATAACCAAAGGGCCCTGGTGCAAGATTTTATCTCGGGCCCCCCTCCCAAGATGGGGGGGGGGGGGGCGGGGGGGGGGTGACACTGAGGCTGTGGGGGTGGCCAGGACCGGACCCCACTGGGCCCCCCCACAGCCTCAGGCCCCGGTGCGGCGGCACCGGCGGTAGTTCCGCCACTGCCCCCAGTGTAAGGGGGGATTCTACACTGACCACCAATATATGGGGCAATTCTACACTGATCACCAATCTAAGGGGGAATTCTACGCTGACCACCAATGTTACGGGGATTCTACACTGACCACCAATGTTACTGGGCAATTCTACACTGACCACCAATGTAAAGGTAATCCTACACTGATCATAAATCTAAGTGGGAATTCTACACTGTCCACAAATGTAAGAGAGGATTCTACAGTGACCACCAATGTAAGAGAGGATTCTACACTGACCACCAATTTAAGGGAGGTTTATACACTGACCACCAACGTAAGGGAGAATTGTACACTGACCACCAACGTAAGGGAGCATTATACACTGACCACCAACGTAAGGGGAATTCTACACTGACAACCAATATAGGGGGGATTCTACACTGACCACCAATATGAGGGGGAATCTACACTGACCACCAATATAAGGGGGAATCTACACTGACCACCAATATAAGGGGGGATCTACACTGACCACCAATATAAGGGGTAATCTACACTGACCACCAATATAAGGGGTAATCTACACAGACCACCAACGTAAGTGGCATTCTACAGTACACTGACTACCAATGTAAGAGAGGAGTCTACACTGACTACCAATGTAAGAGAATTCTACACTGACTACCAATATAAGAGAGGATTCTATACTGAATACCAATCTAAGGGGCAATTTTACAATGACCCCCAATATAGGAAGGGTATTTACAGCGCTTCTGCCAACCTTTAACATCCTAATCCAACCCCTTTCTCCTTTGCTTATTTTTGCACCCCCAACCCTGCTCATCTTTGGGGATGGGGTGCAAAGTTGACCAGGGGGAGTTAGAGTTATGCTTCAGTGCTGCAGCACCTTTCTATGTGCTCATTCACACCAGCAGCTGCAGCAGCTATTATACAGTAATGGCAACAGATTTGCCACAAAAAGTTGGGCACTGTTGAAGGCCTGGAAAAAACAAATTACATATAATATATAGGAGACAATAGATACAGATGACAGCTAACCAACCTAATGTTATTTTCTGAAAAGGACCAAACAGCAGAAAATCAATGCCAAGAAATTGGGATTTGAGTCATGGAAGGAAAAGCAGAGGAAATCTTTGAGGCAATTTTGCAGTAGGATGTCTGGTTTTCTTCAGTACCTCACCTTATGGAGAAGGACTCTGGAAACTATTGGAGGTATGTGGGCTGTTACGAATCAATAGACCTAAGGCATTTTTAACAAAACTGTCTATAATGCAAGAAAAAGCAAGAAAATGGAATTCCAGCTAATTTTCTTTCTAAGTTTGGATATAATAGACAAGGATTAGAACCTCTGTTGGGTTTTAATTGTCGTCTTGTGTCCCAACTGGGGAGATTTTACTTATTACTTCCTGTCCCAAAGACACAATAAGAAGTGAGAGAAAACCCCTAAAGTGATAGAAATGTCAAAGCTGAGATTTCTTAACAGGAACAGGTTTCCCATTTGGGAAATATCCCTTCACATGTCCTGGCAACAACCCTTTAAATGTTAAATGTCCAATAACTTTCTGCCAAGGTGACAACAGTAACTAGGAAATAAAGCAAATGTTGGATACAGGAGCGCAGACAGTAACACAAACTTAATAGAGGTTCTAATTAGGGATGCACAGATACTTTTTGAGTACCAGTGCAGATACTTGGCATTTTCATGAGAACTACCAGGGTTGCAGCGGTTGCAGCTGGGACCTGGCTTTGGCACTCCACCACTGTCCTGAAATCATTAGTCGATATTGTTGTAGAAAAACTGTCTCTTGACAATAAACAAAAATGTATCAGTACTCGTACTTGTAAGTACTCGGCAAGTACCAGTACTCGTACTCGCAAAACTGGTATCTGTGCATCCCTTTATATTTATAAAAACAAAATCGTACATTAAAACAGAGATGTACAAATCCCAAGAGCTCCGTGTGCTCCTTACACATGACAGCTGCCTCCTAAGTTTTGAATTTTTCTCTAGTCTAGTCTTGGAGCTCAAAAGTATCGGTACATGTACTCGTACTTGTACCGAGTACTGTACTTGTTATCTGTGCAACCCTAGTTCTAATCCTTTTTGCTATACTCAAAACTAAATAAAATATCTTGGAGTTGAAATTTAAAGTGCACATTGTATGAAACTGCAAAAAAATATCTGTGTGTCGCTAGATTGTTCGGGTTTCGCTTGGAGAAAAGGTGGCAACCCTAATAGTCACGCGTGATTGACGTACAGTGGGTTTGGACCAGGCCGTCACAGTAAGAATGCATTCTTAAGAAAGCTAGCAATCCCAGATGTCATGAGAATGTGCTCCTGCAAAGCGCAGGAGTGTATTCTCATGGGATTTGGAATCCTCAACTTCACCAGAATACCACAGCGAGGCTAAGGCAAAGTGATGTCTCTGTCACTGTTTTTTTCTTGTGTTGCCCACCCCTCAGTTGTATTGTTTTTGGATGCCCCAGTGGTCTAAGACTAAGCCTGTGTCCTGTACTTTACTGTGTCCTGTACTGTTTCCTGGGGTACAGTAAAGTACTTTATTTTAAAAGTAAGTCGACAATACTATTTTTTTTTCTCTTTATGTTTTTAGGTTTTTCTTAAGTTTTACGTCGCATTTTTGAAAGAGTTTGAAAGAGGACAGGGGAGTTGGGCTTGAAAATATAATGATTTGCATTTTCATGCAAGGTATTCAAGTGACACTAAACTCAGGAGTTAAAACTTTAAAATGCATTCAGGGTACCTTAACTATGAACAAAAATGTAGCTTATTTGTGCATCACTGCAGCTGTAGATCCTCAAATCATCTCTGAATGTGTGCTGACAGTGTCCTTCCTTCTGAAGGGTGACTACTTTTGTTACGACGGTCCCTGTGTGTGTTGTAAAGGATCCACTGCTCCAAGCTCGCTCCCATGATGGACTATAATCTCAATACAAATTAGTAAACTAACAGTGAGATTTTTAGTCCATCACAGGAGCAAGTTGGAGTGGTGGCTACTTTACAACACACACAGGGACCATGGTAACAAAAGTAGTCACCCTCCAGATGCTGATTGCATCTCTCCTGGCTTCTCAGCTGTCATTCCCCGGCTAGAGAAGCCTGGGAAGAAGCTGATCAAGCACAATCTGTGCTTGATCAGCTTCTTTGAAGTTCATAGGTGACATTAGGGGTCTAATAGACCCCTAATGTCACTTTAAAGAGTGTCTGTCATCTGCAATGTACTATCACATAGGAGGCTTGTGATAGCAATTAAGTTAATAAAAAAAAAGTTTAAACTAAACATTAAATAACATAAATGTAAAAATATGCCCCAAAAATGTTTAATGTCCCCGTGAACGTGTGCATACTAATGCAAATACGCTATGGGTGCTCCTAAGTATGAAAACGATGCTTGCCACACATGTTGGGTATTGCTGCATGCACCAAAGTAAGAGCAATCATTCTAGGGCCAATATTCATGGTTAACTATAAACTGATGGCCTGTGCGGGCTTTAAGAGCTGCCTATGGACACAGGCGCATGCAATTTTTAAGCTTGGTGTGTTGGGTATCCATTTACTCGGCACAACTGCATCTTTTATATTTGATAAAAATGTATGTATTATATTGTGTTTTTGCACACTAAAATTTAATTAAGTGTATTTTTTCCTGAAATTGCTGAAAGAGTTGCGCTAATAATATGCAACATAACAATTTTCAGCTGCCACCATTTTATACTACAGGGTCTCTGCTTTCAGGAAATATATAATTCTGGGGGGTTAAGTAATTTTCAGGCCTAAAATGTGGATAACAACATGTGTGCAAAACACACTCTGGCCATGAAAGGGTTTAAGTCCCAGTCCGTGTGGGACCAGGCACTTCATTTTTATCTATCATTTAGATTTTACCCATATACTTCTATGTACGGATATCTCTAACAAAGCTTTTTATGCTGTATCTATAATTAAATGTCTTCCACTAAATGTTTTGTTTTTTACAGGGCACTTTGGAACAGGAATACAATCATACTTCAGTTTTCTGAGATTTTTGGTTCTAATGAATGTTGTGACCTTCCTCCTGATTGGTGGATTCATTGTAATTCCCAGTATTTTGTTTAGTGAATTAAATTTGGGACACAAATTTCTCACTTCAAACTCAAGTGGTAAGTCTATATGTGGTATGTCTTCTGCTAAATTATTGAGTTGAGTTGATTAAGCCAATCTTAAAAAATTATGTCGACCTGCCTGATTTAAAAGCATAGTACATCTTAAATCAAGCACCTGTACAGTGGATATACATAACCAATTAACTTTTTACCTACATTATTTTTTAAGCCAGCTGTGTACCCAAAACCCACACATCCTTATGTCCTTGACCACTACTACAGCTTACTTACAGACCAGTTCTCATTTATAAGAACAGGAACAGCTTCTAATGCATCATCTGAACCTTTTTTCAGACCATCTTTGTTGGAGCTGCGCTGGCCGTTGTTTCCAACCAACACAAGACAAGGCAATTTCCCTTGTCATGGATGGTGCCCTTTCACAACACCGCGTTTTGGTAGGAACGTGGTGGTGTGCACGAACAAAAAGTAAGGCATGCCTTTCTTTTTTCAATGCAGTGGGATGCGAAGCAGTACAGCTGCCTCGCACCCCGCTGTGCTCATAGAACTGAATGAAATGTCACTTGTGACATTTCAATAAAGTTCTGACAAAAAAAAGAACACATTGCAATGCGCTGGGATCAGCGCTTCGGCACTGTGCTGGGGCACCGCACAACAGATGCACAGCATCTGATGAAGAAGGGCCCTTAACTGTTAAGTTATAATGAGCCACACACATGAACACATTATTTATACTTATATACATGGGTTAACAGTAAGGGAAATGGGACCTTACATAGTTACATAGTTTGTCAGGTTAAAAAAAAGTCCACCGAGTTCAACCTATAAAAAAAAAAAAAGCCTAAACGCTATGCCCACAGTTACCCACTGTTGATCCAGAGGAGACAACCCCCTCTATAAAGCATGGTTCAATTTGCTCCAAAAGGGGGAAAAATTCCTTCCTGATCCCATAAGGCAATCAGATATTTCTCTGGATCAAAAATCTCTGGTGCTTAATATACATATAAGACCTCAATATCCAGTAATAGTCTGTGCATTTAGGAATATATCAAGATATTCTTTTAAACAGTTAATTGAGCTAGCTAGAACTAGTTTCTGAGAGAGTATATTCCACATTTTCACAGCTCTAACTGCGAAGAACCCTTTTCATATGCAAAGTTTAAACTCTTTTCCTCCAGACGCAAAAGAGTGCCCCCTTGTCCTTTGCAGTGACCTTAAATTGAATAATTTGGCACCAAGCTCACTATATGGACCATTTATGTGATCATGTCCCCTGCCTCTTAATCTTTCCCCATAGCTGAGCTCCTCCATGCCTCTTTTGAGTTTAGAGATCTTACTAATGCTTTGTACAGGGGCAGGATTATGTCTCTATCTCTGGAGTCTGTATCCCTTTTAATACAAGAAAGTATTTTGCTTGCTTTAGAAACTGCGATTTTACATTGCATGCTATTGCGCCTATGGTCTACTAGTAGACCCAGATCTTTCTCAATCATTGACTCCCCCAAACGTACTCCCCCTAGAGTGTATGACGCATGCATGTTTTTAGTCCCCAAGTGCATAACTTTACATTTATCAACCTTAAACCTCATTTGCCAAATAGATGCCCAATCGCACAGTGCATTCAGTAGGTTGGAGACATCCTGTAAGGACTGTATTCCACTGCATAACTTGGTGTCATCTGCAAATACAGAAATAGTACTTTTAATCCCAAACGCCTGTCATTTATAAATAGATTAAACAGTAAGGGGCCCAACACTGGACCTGGGGGGATACCACTAACAACCTCAGACCATTTAGAGTATGAATCATTGATCACCACTCTCTGAATACGGTCTTTAAGCCAGTTTTCTATCCAATTACAGATGGAATGCTCTACACCTACTGACCTTAACTTATACATGAGCTGCATGTGGGGAACTGTGTCAAACGCTTTTGCAAAGTCCAAGTATACTATATCCACAGCCATTCTTCTGTCCAACCTCCTCATAAAAAGAAAGTAGATATGTTTGACAACTTCTGTCTTTTGTGAATCCGTGCTGACTATCGCTTATGATATTTTTTTCCAGCAAAACAAAGTGTGTGTGATCCTTTATCAAACTTTCAAGTATCTTCCCAACTATTGAAGTTAAACTTACAGGTCTGTAATTACTTGGTAAAGACTTTGATCCTTTCTTAAATATAGGCACCACATTGGCCTTGCACCAATCCATCAGTACCAAGCCAGTCATTAGAGAGTCTCTAAAAATTAAATACAGTGGCTTTGAAATAATACAGCTCAATTCTTTGGGACATGTGGGTCTAAGCCATCCGGTCCAGGTGCTTTGTTCACCTTAATTTTGTCTAACTGTTTCTGGACCATATCAATAGTCAGTCATTGTGGTTCATTAGAGGCTATGGCACTGCTATCCCCATTATGGACTTGAGTTACATCCTTTTCCTTGGTGTGCACTGAGCTGAAGAAAGTATTTAATAGATTTGCCTTCTCTTTGTCCCCAGTTACCAACTCTAAGTTATCTTTTAAGGGGCCTACATGTTCAGACCTTATTTTTTTTACTACACTGGTAAGTTACCATGTCATGAAAGAGGTGCTTCTGAGGCTTCGGCTGGTCAAAGGAAGAACAGTGGAGAAGGGGGCCGTCTGACTGATGCCTTTAGAAATGTTTTCAGTTATCAACGCCCAGGCCTGTTAGCTTCAGTCACCCATCGGCAGCATCTGCATTATATGGTGCAGGATTACCTAGGGGCAAGAGCAGACATGGAGAGCTTTCCAACTGATTATCCACTGGCTTACTGGTTCTTGAGAATGGATCACTGGCCAGAACCTAGCCCAATATGCAATGGAGCTACTGGGCTGCCAACACAATAGGGGGCGGGGGGGTAACAGTATTGGAATACCTAAAGGAAGACAGGGATAAAGGAAGCTAGGTCATCTGGAGTAGCGGTGTTTACAATCGCTAGGTGGAACATTGTACATTGAATATTATAAGTCATAAATGGGTAGATTAATGGAACATTCAAGAAGTCATCATCAACACCGTCAAAGCGCATCATGTGCGTCTGAGTCTCTGAATAGATGCCACACCGTCCATGTTTTGAGGTATTTGGGCATATCGTCTCTGCTAGAGTAGATAAGTTCCTCCATCTTTGACTCCACATCCACTCTAGATAGCCACTCTGTGACAGTCGGAGGGTCCGGTGATTTTCAACGCCTAGGAATCACTGTCTTTGCCGCATTGAGCAGATGAATTGGTAGGGAATGTTTTGAAATGTGGAGAGTGTCATCAAAGTGGAACAATAGGAGACATGCAGGGGAGAATTCGAGCAAGACACCCGTGATATTTCGCAATATGGCGTGAACCTCTGTCCAAAATGGTGATATCAGTGGGCATGACCACCAAATATGGAGGAGTGTACCCACCTCTTGGTTGCAGCGCCAGCAGGTATCAGTGGTGTCTGGGTAGATACGGTGAAGTAGGACTGGGGGTTTTGTACCATCGTGCACAAATTTTGTAGTTGGTCTCCTGAATTTGAAAGTTTAGGGATCCCTTCAGCAACAACGCGTCCATGCGTTCCCATTGCTGTGTGGAGAGTGTGATGGACAAATCTCGTTACCACAATTTTGTGGAGGGCGTCTGGGTGAGAGTAGAGGGGTCATTCAAGATGGAGTACATCTCTGATATTGTATGGGTCACCCTCTGGGAAGAGATGCAAAGCTTCTCGAATGGGCTCAGGGAAAGTGAAAAGAGGCCTCTAGTGGCGCTGGAGTTGAGGAAGTGTCGAATTTGTAGATAGGACCACAATGAAATGGATGAGGGTGGGTTTTTGGTGTTTAGGTCTGTGAGGGTACGGAATTCCCCCTGAGGATGAAAAAAACATATGAGCATTAGGGGAGGCATCGGGTGACCATTGGCGCAGAAAGGACAAGTGAAGACCGGGGGGAGAGGCTGAGTTCATGCGAACCGGTGTAAGGGGACTAACAGAGGAGAGAGAAGTTCTGGTATTCACGGTGGCCAAGATATGCAGCAAAGCTCCTACCCTTGGGTGATTTAGAACCTGGGTCGGGAGATGGGTTCGATGTAACCAGGGCCAAGAGCTGATTGGTATATCTGTCAGAAGTTGTTCTATGCGAACCCAGTCTTTGCTTGGGGCATGAACGGACCAGTCTATTATACGGGTTAGGTGGCAGGCCCTATGGTAATGTAGTATATGAGGAAAGCCAATTCCTCCTGAGTGTTTGGGGCGAGTGAGGGTTTGGAAGCTAATTCGTGGGGAACCGTTGTTCCAAAGGAAGGACCGAAACATTGCGTTCACTGAGGAGAAAAAGGCCTTGGGGAGGCGGATAGGTACAGTTTGGAACAAATATAAAAGTCGAGGAAGGGCTGTCATTTTTAGGATAGCTACTCTGCCGAACCATGAGTATAGTGTTTTGTTCCATTCTTTAAGATCTATACGCAGCTGGGAGAGGTGGGAAACGTAATTGAGGGAGTATAGATTGTGTAGATTACCGGGGATTTTAATACCTAGGTATGTAATAGCTGTGTCCTCCCAGCTGAAGGGAAAGTGGGATTGGCAGAATCTGACTAACTCTCCTGGGAGGGAAATGTTAAGGGCCGAGGATTTGGATAGATTGATTTTGAATGATGAAAGGGACGCAAATTCTTGAAATGCCTGGAGAAGGTTTGGGAGGGACACTCTAGGTTGGGTCAAAAAAAAAAGTAGGTCGTCCGCAAAGGCTTCCACTTTGGACTCCTTGCCTGGAGTAGGAAAGCCATGTATGTTAGGGTCAGCTCTTATTCTTCGGAGGAAGGGCTCCAATGTCAGCACGAAAAGCAGGGGAGACAGCGGGCACCCCTGTCGCATTCCGTTGCATATGGGGAAGGCGTCCGACAGAGAGCCGTTCACTCGGATCCTAGCAATCGGATTATGGTATAGTAGGGCAATCCAATGTATCATGCGTGAGCCAATACCCAAGCAACGGAGAGAAGCAAACAAGTAGTCCCATGCCACTCTGTCGAACGCCTTCTCCGCATTAGTGGACA